CAGCTGGGTGCCAGGATCCCAGCACAAGGCGGCAGACGCTCTCTCCAGGAGCCCCACCCAACCAGCAGCTGCTGATGACGAATGTGGGGAAGACGACGACGCACCTGCCCTCCAGAGCGTCTTGGTAGCTGAGCTTCGAGCGTGCGACACCGACATCATGCTGGACCGGGTGGAGTGTGCGACGTCAGAGGACCCCGAGCTCCAGATGCTCAGAGACATCATCTCCACCGGCTTTCCGGCATCCAGAGCGGAGCTTGCGGAACCCCTCCGGAAGTACTGGCCGGTGCACGACCGACTGTCGGTGGAGGGCGGCATCATCTTATGCGGCATGCGCATCCTGGTGCCGCTATCCCTCCGTAGATCGACCTTAGCGTCTCTCCATGCGAGTCACCTCGGGAAGGAGAAGACCAAGGAGCGAGCTCGGCGGGTGGTCTACTGGCCGGGAATGGACGCCGCCATCGACGACGTCACCAGAGGATGCAGTAGGTGTCAGCAAGAGCTGCCATCCCAGCCGAGGGAGACCATGCTGCATCATGAGCCTGCCGCCAGGCCGTTCCAGGTCCTGGACATGGACTTCGCAGACCACGCAGGAGGCAAGTACCTCGTCGTCGTTGACGGCTACTCTGGGTGGAAGTTCATCGAATCTACGGGCACCCGGTCTGACACCAAAAACGTAATCAAAGTAATGCTTAAGATTTTCAGTGAGGTCGGTGTGCCAGAACTTGTCAGAACCGACGGGGCCCTCTGCTTCACGTCTCTTCAGTTCAGCACGTTCTTGAGCAACTGGGGCGTTCTGCATCGCACATCATCCCCACACTACCCCCGATCTAACGGCCTGGCCGAGTCTGCCGTTAAATCTGCAAAAAAGCTTCTCAGGCGATGCTGGGACGACGGCAGAGGACGGCTCAACGAAGAGGAGTGGACGCGGGGCCTGCTTCAGCAGCGGAACACGCCGGGCGTCAGCGGGAAGTCGCCCGCCGAGATCGTCTACGGCCGGCCACTGAGGGACGACCTGCCCACGCACCCGTCGCACTTCAAACCATCGGCGCGCTCGCAGCGGGCGAGTGGAGGCGGAGGCCAGCAGCGGAGGGGGACGCCACCGCACCAGACTGTGGACTGCGACGATCGCCGCGAGTCACGCCGCTGCGCCGCCAAACGGTGGTACGACCAGCATGCCCACGACCTGCCCGAGTTCCCCGTCGGGACTCGCGTCCGTGTGCAGGACGTCAGGACAAAACGATGGGACAGGTGCGGCGTGGTGACGTCGGTCGGCCCCCACCGACGCTACAGTGTACGCTTCGACGATGGAGGGGAGGTGGATCGGAACAGATGCCACCTGCGCAGGCGGCACGCTCTGTGCCCGGTGCCCGGAGTGGAGCCTCCCGGGAGAGCCGGCCCGCGTGTCGTCACACAACCGGACACTGGTCGGATGAGTCGTGACCATGCATCTGCGAGCGAATCGCGCGCCTCCACACGGCCGGATCGCGCGCCGCGCACTGAGCCGCCGACTGTCCGCCGATCCACCCGTGTGCGGAAGCCGGTGCGTCGGCTCATAGAGGAGATGTGATTGTGTACTACGTTTCTTGTTATTTTCGCTATTGTGTTATGATTCCGTTCTTTTCGTTATACCTCGAGCGCGCTGGGGGCTTAAGGGGGGAGATGTGGTGGTGTGCATCCCCAGTCTGTACCTGGGGTTTGCATCTCTACGACCGTGTGTGCCCTCGGGACACGGTCCGGCGGCGGCTCCCGGCCGGACCGTGCGGGGCCGCGTCAGTCTCTACTGGGTCCGCGCCACGCTCGCTCGCTGTGAACAATACACCTGCACCGGTTCAGAGGCGTCTTCACAGAAGCAATATCTTTAACATGCTATAGTTCTTGATTAAAAACATTTTTACTGATTTTTACTGTTTACAAGTTTATTTGCAAACATTTTCTTATCGGAGGTGCCACTGGCGATGAAGCTTAGTGAAATCGGTTTTTACGTAGTTGGTGAAAATACTTATGAATTGTTAACTACAAACACTTAAAAATACAAGTTTTTAGTGAAACAGGCCTCAGATGTCAAGCCGCTTGGCGACATCTGGCGTCAAGTCGCTTGGTCGCTGCTTTGACACTCCGGGCAAGTCCAGCCGCTGATTGTGTCGCCCTCCACAAAAAGCTGGATGCACTCGTGGAGCGAGCACTGACTGGCCCTGGCTGGTATATCGGCACTGAGAGGTGTGAAAACGCCTCGAACTTCGCCGAGTGGGTCCCGCAGCTGGAGCAGCGCAGCGTCGACAAGCGAAACGTCATAAAAAGTTCCAAAGCCATGGCCTTTCCAAAGTTCGCTGAATAAACCCTCGTGCACTGTTTGCCGCCATGCCTCTGATAGTTCACACCTGTCGCTGATCAATCGCAGCCAATAATCCGCAACCTTCGACATATTCTGCATCCCACGCGCATTCCTGGGCTTGTTGGGTGGGTTTTCGCGCTAGAGTGATTCTTAGAATGCCACTCTCAGTTGTTACTTTCATATGGAACAATGATTGTTGATGGCTGGGGACAGCGCTAAGTATAGCTACTAGTGATGTCAATTACGGAAAATCGGAATACCGATACCAAACCAATTACCAACCAAAACCGTGGAGAAATACCGAAACCAAACCAACTTGGGAACATGAGGAAAATACCAACTTTTTACCGATTCCTTAGCCTCCTAAACATTAGCGAGGGTTCATGATACCAACAAAATACCAAACACATTAGGATTGAAATACCAAATACCGAGTTGGTATCGGTTTGGTATCGGTATACCAAAAAGTCGGTATCCGATTGACATCTCTAATAGCTACTAATTGTGGAAGCTCGACCTTCGGGATGCCTCCGGCTTCGGTGTGGCGTAACTAGCGGCGTGTCGTGAGTGGCAAGCGAGATTCGCATGTCACTTTTCCCCGCGTCAGTGGTGACACACTGAATCAGTTTTTTGTTGATGTAGGCGCAAACATTGTTTCCGATTTGAACTCCGGTGTGCACGACTCGTCTCGGCAAGTGCCTGTGCGGCTACAGCGAGTCGGTTCGTGCGGTTTTACCGTGCAACCCGTCAGTCTTGAATTTTTAAAGAACGTTGTTTTTAGCATGCGAAACTCATCTGCTCGTGGCTCTGACGGGCTTTGCATTCGCGTTTTTAAGATGTCTTTTAGTGTGATCGGACCTGTTCTCTTGCATGTTGTGAACTCCTGCCTATCCATGAATGACATCCCCGCATCCTGGAAACATGCCCAGCCCCAAATCCACCCCATCCTGAAGTCCGGTGATCCCAACAATCCTGCAAACTACCGTCCTATTTCCATCCTCCCTGTCATTGCGAAGGTAGTGGAGAAGGTCGTACAGCGACAGCTTCAACACTACCTATCCTCCAACTCTCTCCTCTCCCCTACCCAACACGGCTTCCGTCCACATCACTGTACCGAATCAGCCCTTCTCCAAATCTCTGACCGAGCACTTGCTGGCATGGATCAAGGCCACATCTCCCTGCCCTGTTTACTTGATCTGTCTAAAGCTTTTGACGTGATTTCCCACTCTAAATTGCTTGACAAGCTCGAGCTGCACGGCATTGACACTGCCTGGTTTCGAAATTATCTTGACGGTCACACGCAAAGCGTAGCCATCTCTGCCTCACAGAGCTCCCCTCCGCTCAACATTAGCCAGGGCGTCTTCCAGGGGTCATCGTTGGGTCCTCTCTTGTTCAGCATCGTCGTTAACGATCTTAGCTTGTACGCTGGCGACTCTTTTATCATTCAGTACGCCGATGACACCCAGGTTTTAGTCTCTGGACACAAGTCCGAGCTACCTGACCTTATCTTAAAACCCGAGGCATCTCTCCAGTCGCTTGGTGATTACTTTCATTCGAACGGTCTAAAACTTAACGAGTCAAAATTCGAGCTACTTCCCATCGGCTCACGTCAAAATCTGCGAGACCTCCCACCGTTCACGGTCAAGTTTCGGCAAGCCGTGCTATCACCTTGCACTGAAGCAAAAAATCTCGGTGTCACTTTTGATCGCCATCTCACTTGGGACTCGCACGTATCGCAACTGTCACAGAAGTGCTTCGGCATCCTTTTCGGTCTCTCCCACATCCGCCACTACCTACCATCCGGCACTCTCCCAATCCTTGTGTCTGCCCTCGTCCTTTCCCACGTCCGCTACTGCCTCTCCGTCTATGGCAACGGGTCTGCCAAGAACCTCGCCACCATCAACAAAATTGTAAATTTTGCGGCCCGCATCATCTCCGGCAAAAAGAAATTCGACCACATCTCCTCTGTCCGTGCCTCACTCGGCTGGCCGGACCCCTCCACTATGGTTCAAGCCCAAACCCTAAACATCCTACACAAAGCTAGACGAACAGGTCAGCCCGAGTCACTAGCTGCACTATTTGCCACTAATGCCGAGCGTCCAGACCGTAGCCGCAGCACCAGGCAGGACCACCTGCTTAGTCTTCCCCGCATACACGGCTCGGCTGCGGGGAAGCGGCAATTCGTGTACCGCGCTGCCGCAGGCTATAACGCCCTACCACGCGAGTTCTGGGACATGTCCACCTCGATGTTTACCAGCAAGGTCTTAGAACTCTTATCTTCGGTGACATGAGCTGACACGTCACTGTAACCGCTTTTAGCTTCTGCATCGTGTGTGTAGTGTGGTTTATGTGTGTTCACTTTTTATCCTCATCATTGCATTTCTTAGCGTGTGTTGACTCTGACTCGAGAATAGCCCTGTGATTCCGATCTCATGAAGGGATGAGTCTATGACGTAAATACCATAGATATAAAGACTAGATGGGGCACCCCCATGTCGGGAGCGACTCGCGAATACGTAGCAGCGGCCGCCATGTTGGTGAGGGCGAGGATCTGCGGCGCTGTGTAAACACTATGGGAGGAGGGGGGTGTTTGGGACAGATTTTGTGGTATTTTTCGACCGAAAAGTGTTAATCTTTTTTACCTATGGCATTCTTTGGAATGAGTAGATTGTGAAACAAGGGCAGAAACATGTGTATTTATAGTAATGTAATTACATCAGCCCTAGACATATAGCCCTGAAGACGCTGATAAAGGATATGCGGCACCGAAGGTAGATGCAATTGGCATGCTAATTTAAGATTAAATTCGTTTCCCATTATGGCTACCATACTTTATATCTATGTATGCAGTATGCAATGGACAATGATCGACAATAAGTGCAATTTTAGCCCTCACCCGTTCGTAGTTTGTCAGCGTCTTACGAGTAGGGGAAGCCAGGGTGAACGGAGTGAACTCCAGCCGTTCGCCCCTCGACGGAGCAAGAACGGAAAAAATAGGTATGCTGTCCGCGATGTGAGTAAACCAGTGATACCAAATTTCAGGGTACTAGGTCAACGGGTGAACTCAGAGGTCAGGTCAAACACTGGAAATCGAACCAGTAAAGTCACTGGAGTTTGAGATCTTTCGCTATAAAATCGACCAAAACGCGTGAACTGTCGGCGAAATGGGTTACATCATTCCCAATCAACCTCATCTCGAAATCTAGCGAACCGGGTCACATAAGGTCATACAAGGTCAGCGACCTTAGATGACCTCGGATGGCCTTGACACATGGCGGGTCATGTGAAGTGTATTTATGGGCGCCGATCACGAATCCCGTGTCAATCTTACTTTAAAAAATGATTTGCGGGCACAAATCCGCAAACATAATTAAGGATTACGAATAAAATGAGCAAGATGCTCCGAAAACTGCCCATATGAAGCGCAGCCTTGACCTCGAGGCAAATGCACGTTATCTAGACATCAACACTAAAAAAAACGCATGTAAAATGCATAAACATGCACTAGAAGGCAAGGAAATTCACCCGGATGCGGCAAATCGCAAAATCCGCTTATTTTAGCCGAACATGACCTGACCCGAGCTCCGATGACCCATTCCTCACTTTGAATCAATCCGCGCCCCCTACAGGCACCGACATCGCCCTTGCAGACAGCACCGACGATAGTCGCACAGGCACGTGGCGAGCTAGTGTAACTGTAGCCGCGCCTTCAGCCACGAACACCAGTTTGTGCCGGATCAGCCAGCCACGGAGCAGAGACGGCCGGCAACGAATCGGCAATTAACAGTGCTACATATCGACACGGTCACAAGAGGCGAGGCGTTAACCCAGCGCCCACTGCATTGGTCGCCAGTGGACCCACTCAGTCACTAAGCAATCATCGACAAAATACGTCTTTTATCGGCCAGACATTGATCTGTTCATTAATATGAAGTGTCCATCCAAATCCACGTTATCCGCCACACAGCAGCTATCGACGGTAGATACCCACTCCAGCGGCAGCTGGCCGCGACTCACTGACACCGGCTAGAGACAGATGACCGCTGAAATCACCAACACTTCGGCAGGGTATGAGCGGGTCTCAGTCAGATCCCAGGCATGTAACCCGTCCCCACCTTAGCTCATCTGGCAGAGATGATGAAGAGGTGGTAAAGCTGTGTCATGTCGTCCGGCTGGATGTCGCTCACCAGGGCCTCCTGACAGGTGCTACAGCTGACAGAGTCGAGCGCCTTCTTCACCACGAACCCTGCGATGTAGGTGACGATGTTGCCCACCAGACGACAGCCCAGGCTGGAAGTCGTGCTCCGTGATGATGTGGAGTGCCGTGGCACCGTTGTCTGAGGTGGTGGAGGCCGAGGTAGTAAGGCTGGCTCCCCGTCCGCTGGTCGTGTGACCGACTGCCAGGATGCTGGTCGGGTCGAGGGCTGCCACTTTCCCTGTGCTGCCGGGCCGGACGCCGCAGCGGTGGAGCAGGTGCCGGAATATCCCGCAGAACTGTGCGGCACTGGGGTTGTTCCAGCCACCTGGAAGGTTCGATTAGTATCAATAAAATATGGCTAATAGTGTTTAGTGTTAACATACGCCAGGCACAAGTGTTGTATTTGTTGTTAACACATTGTTGACACACACGCACACGCACACACACACGCACACACACACACACACACACACATGTTGGCAATGGTAAAGCAGTCTCCGGGCATTTGGTAATAATTTTTTGCACTTATTCTGGTTTTAGTGGCTGATGGACCTTTACCCACGCATGACTGGAGGGTGGGGCTCTACAGAGCCCCTCTCCTGTTTTCTGCAATAAAATATTTACATTTATATATTGAAAAAATTAAAATATATATTTGTTGCAACATTTATAAACCACTAGACGTGTCAATACGAAACTTGCAGTACCTTCGGCTGCATCAATCTGAAACATTTTCTAGAAATAAAAATTGTGTAGCTACCATAGGTCGGCCGTAAATGACGTCAGAGTGATCAGTGAAGTCATATTCTGCCAATTTTGATGCAAGAAATTGAACTACAGCAATCGCTCTCGGTGACAGATAACCTGTAACAATATAAAAAATCAAGAGTCTGTAGCTTTTACTTGCCAATGCAGGGTGATCTCTTACCTCTTGAGCCTCATCCCTGGTTTGTCAGCAATCAAATCCTGCACATCTATTTGGCATCTTGATTCTTGAGAGACTGAGAGGCAAATTTCAATTTCAAAAGATACTAGTCTTTAAAGCTGAAACATATTAACAGTTAGTCAGATCAAAACAAGGCCTGTAGCATACAAGTGTAGGATACTGGATTTGCACACAGTACACACTACAAAATACACATAGCAAACAGTGAGATTACAGTCATGGAAAAGCATCAGGTTTTTAAAATAATAGTTTACACAGACTTAAATACAATAATTTAAATGAGCTTCAAATAAAATGAGAAGTGGAGTGAAGTACCTAACAAATAAGGGTATCCATAAATCTGGTGCCACCGTCGGCACATATAAGGTTGGTAGGTTGTAGGTGGGTAGGTTGTAGGTATGGAGGTTGTATGTAGGTTGAGGTTTGTAGGTTGTAGGTTAGTTAGGTTAGAAGGTAAGGTTAGGTCAAGTAAGATTATGATTTTTATCTTCCTTGGACATCATATTTACTTGTTAGCACTTAGCATTGATGGTAACGCCAGATTTACTAATACCCTATTTACTGATACTGGTAACAGGTGAGCCAAAAGAGCATGAAGTGTAGTTTAAGCTTTACAATGTGAAAACTAATTAGGTAATGACAATCTGAGTTTAGGTGCTCCAACTAACGCACATTTTTACGTCACCCCTGTGCTGTTCATTATTGGGATCAAATGTGCGACACGGTTCACTGGTGCAGATATCACGACGTCTGGCATTTTCACTATCTATCAGCTCTGGTTGAGGGTGAGCGTGGTATGCCACTGCACTCTGAACCCAGAGCGGATAAGAGCCCCCGAGGCATCTGGCATAGTGCATGGATTTTTCGTTTGGCACTGAACTACTATTTAATACTAACTGATGACATTAAGTAAAGTACTTATTTAAAACCTATAATCATAAAACCTTCTTACTTCATAAATATTGTCCATTGAAGGCAACAGTAGAAAGTGAGCAGGCAAAGCAAGTGTAGGTAATGAGTCTGCTTTCCGCTGCCAATGTTCTGGTACCTATCTAGGTAAGCTTTCTTTGTGAAAAATCATATGACTGATGCTCTATCCATGCAAGAATAATTAAAGGATTGTGGTGTGCACAAAAAAAAACATGGGAACTGAATTAAATCTAAAACAGGCATGCCAAGCAAATCTACCTTTGGTGCCGCCTATTCTTCATCAGCGTCAACAGTGCAACATGTCTAAGGCTAACATAGCCAAATTACAATAGATAAGCATATTTCAGCACTTGTTCCACAATCTACACATTCCAAAGAATGCCGTGAGCAAAAAAGATTAGCACTTTTTGGTCGAAAAATACCACAAAATCAGTCTCAAATACCCCCCTCCTCCCGTAGTGTTTACACAGCGCCGCAGATTCCCGCCCTCACAAACATGGCGGCCAGTCGCACGCACTAAAACACTGCCAATGTCCCATCTAGTCTTTTATATCTATGGTAAATACAATACAATACAATACGATGCCCGAATATGTTCGAAATACGTTTGGAAAACCAGGTCAAGCATGCTTTCCAGTTTCCAATGCTACTTCGAGCTACGGTTTCCGCATATAGTCGGCACATGCTGCTCCATTCGTGCCATAGATTGGAATAACCCATATTCCAATGCAATGATTAGGTGATCCTGGATAATTCGCACGTGACTACTTCGGAATTATGCACAGTCGTATATGATTTAAGCCGGGTTCACACCGGTTTTCCGGTCCGGAAAAATTCCGTCTGCCGGGCCGGCACCAAAATGTTGAAATTGTCGCTAGATGTCAAAAAAGTCGCTAGAACCGGAAAACCGAAAAGTCGAGCCGGAAATGTCATAATCATCAACCATCAAGTACAATAAGTAGGTACCAAGCGATCTCGCGAATTATTTTGAAATCGAACATACTTGTGTGACGGTTTTACAAGTCCCTGATGCAGTTCCACCCAACCGAAAATCATCCATACTTCACTGGTAGGTATATTAGCAAGATTAATACAATTTAACATTTACAGCATGCGGGCTGGGTATCGACAAAAAGACACTAATAAAGTTCAATCGCGCTTTGGCTGTTGTTGGTTTAAAAAACACTTGCGAACAAAGAGGAATTGAGGGCTGGGCAGGGCGCATTAGAGACGGCGAGCTTGAATTACGCTTGCTGATGTAGATGGCTGGGTCTCAAAATCGGTCATCTGACTGTCACTGAACTCTACTGCCATAACCCGCGCCCCGCTGGGGGTCCTAAATTTCCACGCCTTGCTGGTGGGGGTGTTTAACATCCCCCTTTTAACTCGGCTCCTGGGCCACGTAGCGATACGGGGAAGGCGGCGTTCGAAAGAGTGTCAAAATTAATGACGAAATTAATTCGGTCACTTTTTTTGTCAAATCAGAGGTCAGATCACCAGAGGTAATGGAAAGCCGAATTTCACCGATTTTCAGGTCGAATGTCGACGATTTACAACAAGCCAGCGCATAACTTGGCATCAATTTTCTCCCATTGACTTATAATGGGGGGGGGTCACAAAATTGACCTTAGGTCACCGATATCAAAATTCCGAGATAGTTATTTATTTAAATTGTGTACATATGTTGCTCTTATCAATCGCTGAGAGTTTCAAAGAGGTCGGTCGCTCGATGTAGCATATGGAAGACGTTGAAACTTTGTATGAGGTGAGGTCACTTGAAGTGACCTGGTGACCTGACCTTAAGTGACCTTGGTCTACAATTTTTACATGTGCAGAAAAGATGCATGATAAGGTGTGCCAAAAACAGCCGCCGTTTTTTAGATGTTCACGAAAAACCACAGGGAGGGTTCAAATATCCCCACCCCCACCCCCAGCAGGGCGCGGGATAATATCCTTGGCATTCAGTACCATCGTATTTCCTGAATCTTCTACTTGCGATTGAATGGCAAAACTGCCTCCACCCTCCCGAGCTGCTATGTGCCTGTGTAGGAGGGCATCGAGGGCAGAGAAGTGTTGTCAGCGCGTTTTGTAGAAAGTAGATTTCAGAATCTGCTCGGCTGGCTCCACTTCGTAGACGACGGAAGTTAGCAATGCGTACATTGTGCGAGTAGTAAAGTAATCTTGCATTGTGCTACCTGTCCTGCGGCCGGCTCCAGCGCTTGCTAATCTCTTCTGCAGATACTGGCTCCGCTCCTTCTACAACCAGCGCGTCCGCAATGTTGTTCCACAAATTCGCCCTTTTCACCGCTTCCTTATAATATTTATCTTTTTTATTATAAAGTCATGGATATTTTCCAACCAATGAAATTGATTTATAATTTGAAAAGGCCATGAGTCATGTGAAATACAAAAACAGAAATGTAGCTATCACTCCGTTTGAGATGCAAATGTTTTGAAATAAAAATGAAACGCCGTCAAATTTACGCTTGAATTTTATATTCTCGTGAAAAATCGCGAGACTATTAGGGCACCGTTGGTTAAATTGGTCCTGTAGCGCTGAAACATAACATTATTTCCCTCGTGCCTTAATTTCATATCACAAACGGTGGCTATCCGGCAAGGCAAAAGTTGAGATGATTTCAACTTTTTGCCGGACCGGAAAATATGGCTCTCCGGCCTGCCGGACCGGTCAAAAGAAGTTGCCAGATTTGCCGGTTCACACCAGTTTTCAATTTTCCGGCACGGAATTAAGCCGGGTTCACACCGGTTTTCCGGTCCGGAAAAATTCCGTCTGCCGGGCCGGCACCAAAATGTTGAAATTGTCGCTAGATGTCAAAAAAGTCGCTAGAACCGGAAAACCGAAAAGTCGAGCCGGAAATGTCATAATCATCAACCATCAAGTACAATAAGTAGGTACCAAGCGATCTCGCGAATTATTTTGAAATCGAACATAATTGTGTGACGGTTTTACAAGTCCCTGATGCAGTTCCACCCAACCGAAAATCATCCATACTTCACTGGTAGGTATATTAGCAAGATTAATACAATTTAACATTTACAGCATGCGGGCTGGGTATCGACAAAAAGACACTAATAAAGTTCAATCGCGCTTTGGCTGTTGTTGGTTTAAAAAACACTTGCGAACAAAGAGGAATTGAGGGCTGGGCAGGGCGCATTAGAGACGGCGAGCTTGAATTACGCTTGCTGATGTAGATGGCTGGGTCTCAAAATCGGTCATCTGACTGTCACTGAACTCTACTGCCATAACCCGCGCCCCGCTGGGGGTCCTAAATTTCCACGCCTTGCTGGTGGGGGTGTTTAACATCCCCCTTTTAACTCGGCTCCTGGGCCACGTAGCGATACGGGGAAGGCGGCGTTCGAAAGAGTGTCAAAATTAATGACGAAATTAATTCGGTCACTTTTTTTGTCAAATCAGAGGTCAGGTCACCAGAGGTAATGGAAAGCCGAATTTCACCGATTTTTAGGTCGAATGTCGACGATTTACAACAAGCCAGCGCATAACTTGGCATCAATTTTCTCCCATTGACTTATAATGGGGGGGGGTCACAAAATTGACCTTAGGTCACCGATATCAAAATTCCGAGATAGTTATTTATTTAAATTGTGTACATATGTTGCTCTTATCAATCGCTGAGAGTTTCAAAGAGGTCGGTCGCTCGATGTAGCATATGGAAGACGTTGAAACTTTGTATGAGGTGAGGTCACTTGAAGTGACCTGGTGACCTGACCTTAAGTGACCTTGGTCTACAATTTTTACATGTGCAGAAAAGATGCATGATAAGGTGTGCCAAAAACAGCCGCCGTTTTTTAGATGTTCACGAAAAACCACAGGGAGGGTTCAAATATCCCCACCCCCACCCCCAGCAGGGCGCGGGATAATATCCTTGGCATTCAGTACCATCGTATTTCCTGAATCTTCTACTTGCGATTGAATGGCAAAACTGCCTCCACCCTCCCGAGCTGCTATGTGCCTGTGTAGGAGGGCATCGAGGGCAGAGAAGTGTTGTCAGCGCGTTTTGTAGAAAGTAGATTTCAGAATCTGCTCGGCTGGCTCCACTTCGTAGACGACGGAAGTTAGCAATGCGTACATTGTGCGAGTAGTAAAGTAATCTTGCATTGTGCTACCTGTCCTGCGGCCGGCTCCAGCGCTTGCTAATCTCTTCTGCAGATACTGGCTCCGCTCCTTCTACAACCAGCGCGTCCGCAATGTTGTTCCACAAATTCGCCCTTTTCACCGCTTCCTTATAATATTTATCTTTTTTATTATAAAGTCATGGATATTTTCCAACCAATGAAATTGATTTATAATTTGAAAAGGCCATGAGTCATGTGAAATACAAAAACAGAAATGTAGCTATCACTCCGTTTGAGATGCAAATGTTTTGAAATAAAAATGAAACGCCGTCAAATTTACGCTTGAATTTTATATTCTCGTGAAAAATCGCGAGACTATTAGGGCACCGTTGGTTAAATTGGTCCTGTAGCGCTGAAACATAACATTATTTCCCTCGTGCCTTAATTTCATATCACAAACGGTGGCTATCCGGCAAGGCAAAAGTTGAGATGATTTCAACTTTTTGCCGGACCGGAAAATATGGCTCTCCGGCCTGCCGGACCGGTCAAAAGAAGTTGCCAGATTTGCCGGTTCACACCAGTTTTCAATTTTCCGGCACGGAATTAAGCCGGGTTCACACCGGTTTTCCGGTCCGGAAAAATTCCGTCTGCCGGGCCGGCACCAAAATGTTGAAATTGTCGCTAGATGTAAAAAAAAGTCGCTAGAACCGGAAAACCGGAAAGTCGAGCCGGAAATGTCATAATCATCAACCATCAAGTACGATAAGTAGGTACCAAGCAATCTCGCGAATTATTTTGAAATCGAACATAGTTGTGTGACGGCTTTACAAGTCCCTGATGCAGTTCCACCCAACCGAAAATCATCCATACTTCACTGGTAGGTATATTAGCAAGATTAATACAATTTAACATTTACAGCATGCGGGCTGGGTATCGACATAAAGACACTAATAAATGTCAATCGCGCTTTGGCTGTTGTTGGTTTAAAAACACTTGCGAACAAAGAGGAATTGAGGGCTGGGCAGGGCGCATTAGAGACGGCGAGCTTGATATTACGCTTGCTGATGTAGATGGCTGGGTCTCAAAATCGGTCATCTGACTGTCACTGAACTCTACTGCCATAACCCGCGCCCCGCTGGGGTTCCTAAATTTCCACGCCTTGCTGGTGGGGGTGTTTAACATCCCCCGTTTTAACTCGGCTCCTGGGCCACGTAGCGATACGGGGAAGGCGGCGTTCGAAAGGGTGTCAAAATTAATGACGAAATTAATTCGGTCACTTTTTTTGGTCAAATCGAAGGTCGGGTCACCAGAGGTGATGGAAAGCCGAATTTCACCGATTTTCAGGTCGATGTCGACGATTTACAACAAGCCAACGCATAACTTGGCATCAATTTTCTCCCATTGACTTATAATGGGGGGGGGTCACAAAATTGACCTGACCTTAGGTCACCGATATCAAAATTCCGAGATAGTTATTTATTTAAATTGTGTACATATTGTTGCCTTTATCAATCGCTGAGAGTTTCAAAGAGGTCGGTCGCTCGATGTAGCATATGGAAGACGTTGAAACTTTGTATGAGGTGAGGTCACTTGAAGTGACCTGGTGACCTGACCTTAAGTGACCTTGGTCTACAATTTTTACATGTGCAGAAAAGATGCATGATAAGGTGTGCCAAAAACAGCCGCCGTTTTTGAGATGTTCGCGAAAAACCACAGGGAGGGTTCAAATATCCCCCCCCCAACCCCCACCCCCAGCAGGGCGCGGGATAATATTCTTGGCATTCAGTACCATCGTATTTCCTGAATCTTCTACTTGCGATTGAATGGCAAAACTGCCTCCACCCTCCCGAGCTGCTATGTGCCTGTGTAGGAGGGCATCGAGGGCAGAGAAGTGTTGTCAGCGCGTCTTGTAGAAAGTAGATTTCAGAATCTGCTCGGCTGGCTCCACTTCGTAGACGACGGAAGTTAGCAATACGTACATTGTGCTACCTGTCCTGCGGCCGGCTCCAGCGCTTGCTAATCTCTTCTGCAGATACTGGCTCCGCTCCTTCTACAACCAGCGCGTCCGCAATGTTGTTCCACAAATTCGCCCTTTTCACCGCTTCCTTATAATATTTATTTTTTATTATAAAGTCATGGATATTTTCCAACCAATGAAATTAATTTATAATTTGAAGAGGCCATGAGTCATGTGAAATACAAAAACAGAAATGTAGCTATCACTCCGTTTGAGATGCAAATGTTTTGAAATAAAAATGAAACGCCGTCAAATTTACGCTTGAATTTTATATTCTCGTGAAAAATCGCGAGACTATTAGGGCACCGTTGGTTAAATTGGTCCTGTAGCGCTGAAACATAACATTATTTCCCTCGTGCCTTAATTTCATATCACAAACGGTGGCTATCCGGCAAGGCAAAAGTTGAGATGATTTCAACTTTTTGCCGGACCGGAAAATCTGGCTCTCCGGCCTGCCGGACCGGTCAAAAGAAGTTGCCAGATTTGCCGGTTCACACCAGTTTTCAATTTTCCGGCACGGAATTGGCCATTTTTCCGGCCCGGCAGACGGAATTTTGCCGGTCCGGAATCCGGTGTGAACCCGGCAGTAGCGCGACGGTAAATCTTGGAACGTCGTCACATCGTCATTAACCCGCGCACCGACGGGGGTCTGCGCCAACTTAGTACCGACGGGGGGGGGCGGATGACCGCCCCCCCCTGAGATCTCGAGAACGAAGCAAGATAGCGACAAGCGGTAAACGGCATCGGATACGCACGGACAAGGTCTACAATTTTTACTGAGGTCATTTTCAGGTCAGGTCAAAGATGACGTCACAGGGGTCGAAAAAGTCAAAATGGCGGCGCTAGATATGGAGAGGGTTTTTCTCGAATAACTTTCGAAGTAGTCAAGCTAGGAACAAACTAAGGGCATCATCGTGATCCTCTCGTCAATCCGCATCGAATGATATATATGTTGACCTCGAAAGGTCAAGGTCAAAGGTTGACCTCAGGTCACGTGACCTCGAGGTCATCATGTATATCATTCGATGCGTCTTGACGAGCTGAACACAATGAGACCATCCGCGCGGCTGTATCTTGTTCCTGTAAGGAGTTATTGGCAAAAAACCTTTGGTGACCTTTGATGACGTCACATGACCTTACAGCTGCCCAACAGCAAAACAGACATCAAGGTAGTGAAGGTTGATCGTATGTGAAGTCATGTATGGTATATGGGGCCATTCCGACCCGTTTTAGTGGTAAAAACAGGGAGTTGATTTTTCCCCCATTGACTTATAATGGGGAGGTCGCGAAATTGACCTGACCTTAGGTCACCGACATCAAAATTCCGAGATATACAAATTGTAGCTACTAATGACCTAATAACATCCTGCGACTTTCAAAGGCCTCCGACATCTACTGTAGCTCTGGCACGGTGACAAAGTTGCAAAAAAGTGACTTGAGGTTGGGTCATTCAAAGTGACCTGGTGACCTGACCTTAAAAGTTAGGAGGTTCAAACTTGCACACCATGTGTAAAATTGATGAGAGAATAGTCATACCAAATTTCGCGGCGCTACGCGCCGCGGTTTTCCCGCTATCTGCGAAAAACCTCAGGGGGGGGCGGATATCCGCCCCCCCCCGTCGGTGCGCGGGTTAAGTACGTAAATTATGGACGATCGGCAATTACTTCTCTGCACGGATGGGATACCAATTACCAATTACCTATTACCGCTACTCAGCTAAGAGCTACTTTTCGTAATTAACCAGTCAGTAAACTTCACCTTGGATATCCCGCGAAACCTCACAGAATGCATTTCCTGGTGAAAACATCCTGTTCGAAATTAGATAAAGTTATGTGGTAGAAAAAAAAATCAATGTGCATTTTTTTCGGTCAGCTCGCCAATGAAAAGACGCTTATTCTGTATTCAAAATGAATTGAAGACTTCCTGGTAACTTCATCGGCAGTAGTTTCCAAATTGTGAAGTCAATTGACGTCACAGACTCAAGTCCGGATCCGGCCGAGCTTTAAAAGCAGAGGCTTCTGGCGTTCAGACTCATATGAGATTAGTATGCACGGCAGAAACTGTTGTTACATAGCTACTGTGTAAGTCGGGTGTACGAAACTATTGCTACATTGCTTACTGTGTAAGTTAAGCGTATGATACTTCCCAAGGCAGGTCGTGGACTCTCTTTAAAATTCCTTCTGAGCTGGAAATACCTTTATTCACGACGCCATATTATAACACCAATAATTTCATTCAATGGAATCAACGCATTATTAAGGTCGACACTTTACCCGAAAAGAGGTCAATTGCGATGAAGTTGGAAAAAAAGTTTTTTTGACCTGTCAAAGCCGGTTGAAGGACCGGTGAATCTGGAGCTGACGAGCTGCCGCCCGTCACTGGTGCCGGACCTTGTGACGTCACTGCTGCAGGATTTGATGACGTCACTGGATGTAGCGTGAGAGGCGGTCTGGGATTACCGCTCTGGGAGGAGAGAGGGGGGAGAGGGCGGGAGGCTGGCCGGCGGGAGCGGATCAGTCGGTGGCGGTGGCGGACGGCGGCGGGTGCGGAGAGAGAGAGCGGGCAGAGGAGCGGAGGAGAGGGGAGCAGAGGTCACTGACGTCACCAACGCCAGCTGCTCAAGGTCAGCTAAGGTCATCAGAGTCCATCCAAGGTCACCGACGGACCGTCGATTGTCAGTGAAAGTTTCACAAAATTATCTACCGGAGGTGGAAGGCAGGGATCCAGATCAAGATGCAAACGTTACTGGTGAGTAGCCTTCGCTGAATTGGGAGACCAGTTACAAATTTGCTACTTTTCAGACATTTTCTGTAGCATTCGTGAGAGATTACGCAGTTTTTGCTTACCTACCACTTGTAATTGTTCTTTAGAACACCTCAGCCCTCACACATTTTATCGAAGCGTGATACCAAAGGGCACAAACTGGCTTTTTACTCTTTTTTGCAATTTACCCATTGCAGTGGAGCCAGGCTTTCGAACTAAAGCATGTTCATTGTTCATTGCCAAAAAAAAATATTGCCAAATACTTTTGACTCTTTGATTGGCGCGCCAAATTACCAGTAGGGGAAAGTGGGGTAAGACAGGCACCTTAACTTTGGAGCCATTTTTCGGCCGGTTAGAAACATCATAGAAACGGGAAACTGAGTGAAAACCTTTTTCAGACATTTAACTTCCATTTGCCAGAAGATGAGACTTCGACCTGACTACTTTTGCAAAACCTTGCAAAAACCCGTCTTATCCCACCCCATGGGGTAAGACGATCACATGGGTAGGGCAAGACGGCCAGCTTCTTTCACCGACTAGCACAGCTCGCAACAAATGCCTGAGATTAGCCGCATTAATTCAGTCGCTCGTTGGTCTCAAGTGCTTCGGAAATGGCAGTATACGAGATTCGTGCAGAAGGCGTATGCTTGTATATAGGCCGTAGTTCAGAAGCCATGTAGAACCGTTTTTCACATTCATTATTCGAGAATAAACTGTGCCGGAGGAATATTACTAACATGTCTGTGAGCATCGGAATCGAACAGATTCTTATTAGAAATGCTTCTTTTTTTCCTACAGCAACAAAAATATTTTCACAATTGCAGACCCATTGGTACCATATGTACCTAGTTGCCCGTCTTACCCCAACCTTAATGTCAGAAGTTCAGCACGATTTTTCTCTGTGGACAATTTGATGGAGACAAAGCAAATCCGCGGTAAATGAACACTGGTGGCATATGTGTGTACCACAAGTGATTGCGAGTTTTTAACTCTATAGTGCTGCACACAAAAGCTTGCACAATACATTATGGATGTTTTCAATGAAATGAGTGTTTTAAAGAAATCAAAATAAAAGATTATCGACTTAGCACAAATTTACCAGACTTCAATGGTGGTGTGCAGTGGGAAAGGCAATTCTGGTCCTAATTTTTCTCGCTCGTAGCGCTATTGGTTTGGTCTGCAGAAGGGGTGCCCGTCTTACCTACCCTGACCGTCTTACCCCACTTTCCCCTACCTAATGCCGGCATTTTTTAAGGTTAGCTCCTCGCGCTTCCTCTTTATGTATTTATGTTTTGTTATCCCCCAAGTAGCTTCGGTAGCATCGTCCGGGAGGCTTTACCACTCATGTTAGCCTTTCGAGAACTCATCAGAACAGATCGCCACGTGCAGAAATGTGCCGACCTCTGACAACTTCGTCAGCATTTAACCCGCGCCCGGCTGGGGGTCCTGGATTTCCACGCCCTGCTGGGGGGGGTGTTTGAACACCCCCCCCCCCTTCTAACTCGGCTCCTGGGCCACGTAGCGATACGCGGAAGGCGGCGTTCGAAAGAGCGTCAAAAATAATGAGGAAATCACTTCGGTCAATTTTTGGTCAGGTCAAAGGTCAGGTCACCAGAGGTCATTGAAGGCAAAATTTCGCCGATTTCCAGGTCGAATGTCGACAATTTCCAAGAAGCCAACGCATAACTCGGGAACCAATAGAGCTACAGCGCCGCGGAAAAGCGCATTCGATAGCCCTATTAACGCCCTTTCTGGGTAATTCTCTCAGATTTCACCTAACGTCAACGGTTTTGCCTGCAGGGGGCAAAAACTGCAAAATACCCGATTTTTTCGGAAACAGTTTTTCTGCAATAACTTTTGACCCAAGCCTTGTACGAGCTTACTTTTACCGGCATCGTGTTCCTCTCGTCAAGACGCATCGAATGAACTATAAGATGACCTTGAAAGGTCAACTTGAAAATTTGACCTCAGGTCAAGGTCATGACCTGACCGGAAAGGGTCATGCTGCATATCAGTCGATCCGTATCGTCGAGCTGAACACATCTAAGGCGTTTTCATCGCTCTAGCATGCCTCTATCAAAAGTTATTTGCGAAAAACTGTTAGATGCCATTCGTGACCTAAGATGACCTCAGGGCATAAACAGGGGTCACGGACACCATTTTCATGTTCAGTGTGTCTCAACTACTTGTAATTTAGTGTTTGGGAGTGTTTATAATGTCTTTCGTCCAAAGGAGGCGCATTTCAATTTTCTCCCATTGACTTATAATGGGGAGGTCGCAAAATTGACCTGACCTTAGGTCACCGATATAAAAATAAAATTCTGACATATACATTTTGTACATGCTATTGGTCTTAGCAATCGCTGAAAGTTTCAAAGCGATCGGTCACTCGGTGTAGCTATGACAGACATTGAAACTTTTTATGAGGTGAGGTCACTTCAAGTGACCTGGTGACCTGACCTTGAATGACCTTGGTCTGAAATTTTCACAACATGTGTAGAATCGATGTATGATAAGGTGTACCAAAAACGGGAGCGCCGCCGTTTTTGAGATATTCGCGAAAAACCACAAGGGGGGGTGTTCAAACACCCCCCCCCCCCCCAGCAGGGCGCGGGTTAACCGTTATTCATAGCTACTTATTCCAGTCTTCTAACATTCCCTTCATTCTCCGCATTTCACAATTTTCCTCGGGTAAAGTCAGTCGTGCTCGTATCTCGGACATCTACCGCCATCCAGTGACTAATGGTAGCGCCCTGAACTGGCCTTTCCGATATCCTGGCGGTGCAATGGCAGCCGCCCGTCACGACTTCTGACCGCGAGGAGCGGCGGGGTGAGCTGTGGGGAGACACCTACTTAGTGCGGCGCCGCTGGAACGGCTGCCCAGTGCACGTGACACAGGGCGGCTGGGTGTGTGAGGAATGGGGAGACACCGCAGGTCCCCACTGCGGCGTCACTGGAACGGTTGGACGTGAGTGTGACAACCGCTAAAAGACGGTTGAGCGGGACACAGTCACTGGAGCTATGACGTCTGGACTATGACGTCATGAGCGGCTAGTTTTGATGACGTCACCGGGACAACTTTCTGTGACAGTTTTTTTGCCAGATTGATTGCGTGTGGTCACTAAAATTGAAGCAAATGTGCAATGTGCATGTTATGCAGGATAATAAACGCTCTACCCTTTTTGAGGAGAAAGTCATGGTAGAAGTTTTCACGACGGAATAGCGGATACCTAATTTCTATTTGGTCCGTTGATACCTCAGGAACTTTAGTAGTTCTTTATAGTAGGTTTTCCACCTTTCGAACGAGTGGCCCGTTACTTTGCTGTTAAAGGGACTGTCCCACCTTAAACATGGGGTTTGAGTTGAGATAGTCAAGTTTGCGGCGAGGTTCAGAAACCACTATCTATCTAGGTTGCAACCCCCGCGGCCTCTTGGTGTTGAAGAAATTCGTTCCCTTCATTTGAAAATGGGCCTTGTACAAGGCCCTATCTTCAACATGGAGCGACCGTTAGTGTGACGTCACCTCGTTTAGTCATTCTGATTTAAATGGGTTTGTTCGTTGAAAAATCGCTTAAAACTTGGTCTGAACTTTGTTGTGGTGCCCACAGAGTAAAAAGAATCAGCTTTATGACAGTAATGTGGCCTGGGGAAGGAGGTAATTTTGGGCTGTGACGTCACATATTTGAAAGTTTGTGTTTGGAATATGGGAAGCCTAAGATGTTTAATGAAAAATAAATGCCAGAACCGTGTTCCTGGTCATCCAATCTATAAAGTCGGGCACAATTTAACTGGTTTTAACAACATTTTAGAAGGTGGGATAGTCCCTTTAAACATTACACTAATTTATTTTATCTCAGGGTTTACCGCTCACGTATACCAAAAGGGTACGCACGCTTATGAAATTCTCAAATCTATATAATGCTACTACAATTATTAGAAAATATACTGAGCTGCCAGCTGAGGTTGACCGAGCTCTCCCAATTCCACGCTGGCTTGGCTTTGGAACCGCAGCAGACGGCGGAGGTCAAGGTCACTGCTAAGGCGGCGGAGGGTTTGTTGCGCCCGGGCACCACCAGGGCGCACGCAGTGTCGGACCGCTGAAACAGAAGCCATGTGGTGGGTATCTAGTTCATGCTTTGATCCCTTAAAGTCGAAATGTGGGCTACTAGAACTGTAAATTGAATCGTTTCCCAGCCACCCTTCACAAGTGGGACACACATGGGCGCTAATTGGATACCAAACTGGGAGTCATTTGGGCTGCCCACCAAGGACCCAGTTGGGCATGTCATGGGCGTCCAACTGGGTCCCATCTGGGCACCCCTGACGGGGCCCATGTGGGGCCCAGCTGAGACCTGTATTGAGCAGCATATGGGCTTGCCCAATTGGGACCCAGCTGGGAATAAATGGGTCCCACACGGGCTTTCCCAGATGGAACTCATATTGATGTCTCACGTATGCAAATAATCCCACAAGGGTTTTAACCCTCGCATGTGTAGGGGGGGGGGTCGGATGGACCCCCCCCCCCATGGTTTTTCGCGAATAACTCGCGTAAAAAGCGGCCGATCGCGACGAAACTTTCAGTACCCTCGCATTGATCAATTTGACACCTACCCTGAAAATTTCATGACCCTGACCCAAATGACCTTTGACCTGTGACCTCTTTTCCGAGACCATGTTTGGCCGGAATCGCGATTTCGCGTATGTCGGCTCGCACTAGCCGCGTGTTTGCAAGCTTTTCGTGGTTTCAAACGTTCAAACATGTGATTTGATGTTACTCCCGTGTGCGTCAAGGTCACCTGAAGGTCAGGTCAGGTCATTGACCTTTGGTGACCTCGGGTGACCTCGGGTCACTTTTTCGAGTTTTACATGTTTCTAGGCTAGTTTTTGGAGCTGAATTCGAATTTAGCAACCATTTGAACATTTACGAAGTAGTTTTGGTGACTTCGTAACATGTTACGAAGCTGTCCGAGGCGGTTGACACGTAT